TCCCTGTCAGAACTTTTTCGGTAATAAGTGTCTCTACTGGGAACTGACTCATGGCGGACGCTCTGTCCTTCCTTGAAGAGGATTTGACATGTCTCATGTGTTGTGATGTCTTCACCGATCCGGTCACTCTGAAATGTAGCCACAGTTTGTGTGAGAAATGCCTCCAGTGCTTCTGGACGACTCGGGACGTGCCGCAGTGTCCGGTCGGTCGGAAGGAATGCTCTCACGACGAGCCCACCAAGAGCCTGGCGTTCAGAGCGCTCTGTGAGTCCTTCAAGAAGAGAAAACCCACAGCTGTTTCAGGAGACGTTTGTCCAGAACATAAAGAGGCACTCAAACTCTTCTGCTTCGAGGACCAGCAGCCCATCTGTGTGGTCTGTTACACATCAAAGAAGCATGAAAATCACAAGTGTTCGCCTGTCGACGAGGCTGCTGGGAATTTAAAGGTATGAAGAGTTTGGAATCTGATCTGACTGACTTCTGACATCTTCATGCTCAAAATTAAGAGTTTATCATGTGATTCTAGGACGATCTCAAGACACAAATGGACAGACTTCAGGCGACACTCGCTGACCTCAAGAAAGCTCAAGAGAACTGTGTGAAACAGGCTGAGCTCATTAAGGTAAGTGTATGTTAGTATTGTAATCCGTAGTGAAGATTTACATCAACTTAACAAAGGACTAAATCTTCTTAAACCATTTTAGATACACACCAGTATAACAGAAAACCAAATCAAGAAGAAATTTGAGAAGCTCCATCAGTTTCTTACAGAGGAAGAGAAGAAACAGATCAGATCATTGCGTAAAGAAATGGAAAATAAAGATGAGAAACTCAAGGCCACACTAGGTGTGTTAAGTAAAGGGGGACGGTGCTTATGTTTGTGCGTCAACAATTTTTTTGTGAAATAAGTTTGCTTTGTTTTTGTTTTTTAAAACAAATTATATATATATATTTCCTAACAAAGTGGGTCGCGGCTTGATGACCATGGGAAAATGTGGGTCCCATGGCCAAACCAGTTGAGAACCACTGTTATAGACCATGGGTGGCCAACATCGGTCCTGGAGAGCCACAATCCTGCAGGGTTTGGCCTTAATAAAATCTCGCCTACCTGTAGCTTTCTAGTAATATGTAGACCTTGATTATCTTGTTCAGGTGTGATTGATTAGGGTTGGAGCTAAACTCTGCAGGACTGTGGCTCTCCAGGACCGATGTTGGCCACCCCGTTATAGACCTTAGAGCAAGGATCCTCAAATCTGGCCCACGAGATCCACTTTCCTGCAGAGTTTAGCTCTAACCCTAATCAAACACACCTGAGCATGCTAATCAATGCCTTCAGGATCATTAGAAAATCACAGGTAGGTGAGTTTGCTCAGGGGTGGAGCTAAACTCTGCAGCGCATTGGCCCTCCAGGGCAAGATTAGAGGAACCCTGCCTTCGAGGGTTTAGTCTTTACTGTTCCTTTTGAGATGAAAGGGACTTTTTGTTTTAACAGGTTGCATTTTTTCAAGTTCAAATTTAGACCAGAAGTTTCCAGCTTTGCAAACCTAAATGCCCACAGTGATCCTGAACATTGGACGAGATCACAACAATATCGTCTACATCAGTGGTTCTCAAACCTCTCCATGACGTACCCACAACACTGCACGTTTTGTATGTCTCCCTCTATCTGACACACCCACTTCATGTCTTGCAGTCTCCACTAATGAGCTGATGAGTTGAATCAGGTGTGATCGATGAGGGAGACATACATCCGTACTCCAGGACAGGTTTGAGAACCACTGGCCTAGTTCTATCATACATGGACAGTAAATAATCACTAAATATCGGTGCACTGCACATATGTAATCAGTGCAAGAGTTGTCACTGCATTCTGAAATTATGAATGTACATTCAACCAAATTAAGCATGCAAGTCAGTTACAAACTAACTAGTAGTTGCTAATCCCTAAATATAAAATGCATGCTCTAATTTAAGTAAGACTTCATGCTGAGCAGGTGCAGCCACACTATGTGAACATTTCCTGGTTGTTATTCACTGTAATATGACATCCTTGAGGGAGGAGTTGATAAATCTTCTACGTAAACGAAAGTTAAGTAAAAGAAATGAAAGGGTTGGGTGTGGTGGGGAAAGGTAAAGGAGGTTTCACAGCATTTCCAGTAAGTAAGTAAATGTACTGAGTTTTAGAAGTAAAGCAGCTATTACTATTACTACAATTTCAGTTGAAACTTCTATTGGCTGAGAACTGACTTCAGTCATGGCGGACGCTCTGTCCTTCCTTGAAGAGGATTTGACATGTCTCATGTGTTGTGATGTCTTCACCGATCCGGTCACTCTGAAATGTAGCCACAGTTTGTGTGAGAAATGCCTCCAGTGCTTCTGGACGACTCGGGACGTGCCGCAGTGTCCGGTCTGTCGGAAGGAATGCTCTCACGACGAGCCCACCAAGAGCCTGGCGTTCAGAGCGCTCTGTGAGTCCTTCAAGAAGAGAAAACCCACAGCTGTTTCAGGAGACGTTTGTCCAGAACATAAAGAGGCACTCAAACTCTTCTGCTTCGAGGACCAGCAGCCCATCTGTGTGGTCTGTTACACATCAAAGAAGCATGAAAATCACAAGTGTTCGCCTGTCGACGAGGCTGCTGGGAATTTAAAGGTATGAAGAGTTTGGAATCTGATCTGACTGACTTCTGACATCTTCATGCTCAAAATTAAGAGTTTATCATGTGATTCTAGGACGATCTCAAGACACAAATGGACAGACTGCATGAGACCCTCGCTGACCTCAAGAAAGCTCAAGAGAACTGTGTGAAACAGGCTGAGCTCATTAAGGTAAGTGTATGTTAGTATTGTAATCCGTAGTGAAGATTTACATCAACTTAACAAAGGACTAAATCTTCTTAAACCATTTTAGATACACACCAGTATAACAGAAAACCAAATCAAGAAGAAATTTGAGAAGCTCCATCAGTTTCTTACAGAGGAAGAGAAGAAACAGATCAGATCATTGCGTAAAGAAATGGAAAATAAAGATGAGAAACTCAAGGCCAGACTAGAGGAGTTGTCCAAACAGATATCAGATCTGTCTGAGAGGATGGCAGCCTTCTGGCAGGATATGGAAGCTGAAAACATCTCATTCCTCCAGGTACAGAGTAAACACTTAATGTGATCCCAGGGACCAAAAGTCCAGCAGAGACTCAACCACACGACTGAGCGCTAATTGCTCTTTTATTTTTTTCACATTCAGAATTACAGCGATACATTAAAAAGGTGAGTCTTTCACAAGTAACATTTTTGATATAACTGCAATCCATTTTACCTTTTGAGCACCAAATATCTAATTGTTTATGTAACAGACTCAAATGCCCCTCAGTACCAAACAGGACCCCTGTATTACAGCAATATCAGCAGTATCCCATTCAGACAGTGATCTTCACCACATGGGCCAGAATGCAGAACCTTGTGGAACAGCGTAAGTAATAGCATCTGCTTAGATTGTATGCTGTTATTTTTTTCCCATGGAACACAAATGAAAAACATCATTCAGCTCTTTTCCATACAGTTCACGATAACCAGAGGCTGTCCAACATGGACCAAAAACACCATTAAATGTTGCGTTCATGGGCATGTTGTAATTACCATAATTACTAAATGATAACACGTGACGTTCAGCTTGGAGCTGTTGACAACCTTGGACTCGAATTTATCAGTTGAATATATTACGAAATCACTGATTAACTACATTTTACTGCTGAAGCCACTGTCATTTTGAGTGTATAACCAGGTGGCGTTGTAGTGGTCATACGAGTCAGAGCTCTAAGAAAGTTGTGATTATGACGTCTACAATGACGTAAATGCTTTTTACATGTTGGACTCTTGTAATTATGCCTATTCTGACATGCCATGAAATGGACCTAAAGTACCATAAAACAATTGGGGTTTTTGGTCTTTTTGGATGAAGCAATTAGTCATCACCTTCCACTTTTATTGGGTGGAACAGAAAAAAATAACAGCATACAGGTTTGGAAAGACATGAAGGTGAGTAAATGTGAGTGTCCCATACTCGGAATCTGTGCTCTGCATTTAACCCATCCAAGTGCACACACACAGCAGTGAGTAGTGAGCAAACACACAGACTGAACACACACCCAGAGCAATGGGCAGCAATTTTGCTGCAGTGCCCGGGGAGCAGTTGGAGGTTCGGTGCCTTGCTCAAAGTCCAACTCCCTAACCATTAGACCACAACTGCCCCTATTCATTCATTCATTTACCTACCCACATACCTAACAAAACACAAACACATGGGTAGTAGTGCATTGGGACTGACTGTTGAAAAGCTCTGTAGTTTACGGTCATCTGTGTTTACAGCTCCTGTGACTCTGGATCCAGACACAGCCTCCAATAAACTGCAGGTGTCAGATGATTACACCAGTGTTGAGTATGTAGAAGTGAAACTGCATGTGTCTGATAACCCAAAAAGGCTGCAGGAGGGGGTACTGGCCTCACAGGGCTTCAGCTCAGGTGTGCACTGCTGGGACGTAGAGGTGGGAGATAGCAATAACTGGACACTAGGAGTGATGGGGGAAACGGTGAACCGCAAAAAACTTTGCAAAATGGATCCAAAAAATAGTTTCTGGTGTTTTCGTAATGTAGATGGTAAATACAAGAAAGGAACAAAACCTATCAGCGATTTTGATAGCAATGAGAGGCCAAATGTCATCAGACTGCAGCTGGACTTTGACAAAGGAGAGCTGAGATTCATTGAACCCTTCAGAAAGAGTAGTTTGTGCACCTACACAGGTGGATTTCCAGAGAGGGTGTTCCCATATTTCAATACTGGAGATCCGGACTCACCACTGAGTCTTTTCCCAGCAAATAAACAAAACGTCTAAACCAAAACTAACATGACATTTTTTGTCCAAATACTTTTTGGTGCCACTGTATGTCCAGTAATGTGATTATTTAATCATGCAATATTTATTTCATATGTTTCCATATAAATGATGATGCATTAATAAGGCAGATTTTAATGTGATTATCAATGTAAAAAGCAATAAAGACTATTTGGTGTACCAAATTTCAAGTAAAATACAGTGTGGTGATGTCACCTCTGCCAGGCTGATTGGTCCAAAGTAATGGGCTCAACCTCAAACTGGTGGCATTTCCCCGTTTCTGATATTGACAATACTATGAAGGATTGCACATACCTGCAACACCTGCTCTGATGATACTCATACTTTTTTTCTTGCAATTCTGAGTAATAGCCCAGAGTGAAGATGTCCTCCGCCACACGTCCAAACTGCATCACGGTGTAGTCAGCTGAAAACACACCAACAAACAATCACAACAGTGCATCTGGAAACCTACCAACAATCTGGCAAACCTACCAGTGACAACTGCCATCTAGTGACAATTTTACACAACTCAGATCTTTTCTCCTACTCCGTGGTCACTGTGGCTCTTGCTGACATTAAAATGATAGCTCAGAAATGAAAACTCTATCATCATTTACACATCCTCGGGACATTTGTCTACTGCTATCATACATGGACAGTAAATAATCACTAAATATCGGTGCACTGCACATATGTAATCAGTGCAAGAGTTGTCACTGCATTCTGAAATTATGAATGTACATTCAACCAAATTAAGCATGCAAGTCAGTTACAAACTAACTAGTAGTTGCTAATCCCTAAATATAAAATGCATGCTCTAATTTAAGTAAGACTTCATGCTGAGCAGGTGCAGCCACACTATGTGAACATTTCCTGGTTGTTATTCACTGTAATATGACATCCTTGAGGGAGGAGTTGATAAATCTTCTACGTAAACGAAAGTTAAGTAAAAGAAATGAAAGGGTTGGGTGTGGTGGGGAAAGGTAAAGGAGGTTTCACAGCATTTCCAGTAAGTAAGTAAATGTACTGAGTTTTAGAAGTAAAGCAGCTATTACTATTACTACAATTTCAGTTGAAACTTCTATTGGCTGAGAACTGACTTCAGTCATGGCGGACGCTCTGTCCTTCCTTGAAGAGGATTTGACATGCCTCATCTGTTGTGATATCTTCACCGATCCGGTCACTCTGAAATGTAGCCACAGTTTGTGTGAGAAATGCCTCCAGTGCTTCTGGACGACTCAGGACGTGCCGCAGTGTCCGGTCTGTCGGAAGGAATGCTCTCACGACGAGCCCACCAAGAGCCTGGCGTTCAGAGCGCTCTGTGAGTCCTTCAAGAAGAGAAAACCCACAGCTGTTTCAGGAGACGTTTGTCCAGAACATAAAGAGGCACTCAAACTCTTCTGCTTCGAGGACCAGCAGCCCATCTGTGTGGTCTGTTACACATCAAAGAAGCATGAAAATCACAAGTGTTCGCCTGTCGACGAGGCTGCTGGGAATTTAAAGGTATGAAGAGTTTGGAATCTGATCTGACTGACTTCTGACATCTTCATGCTCAAAATTAAGAGTTTATCATGTGATTCTAGGACGATCTCAAGACACAAATGGACAGACTTCAGGCGACACTCGCTGACCTCAAGAAAGCTCAAGAGAACTGTGTGAAACAGGCTGAGCTCATTAAGGTAAGAGGCATGTTCAAGTCCTATTGGGAAGTTCATATTTACGAATCAGGAAGATGACTTGAATGCACTATTAGTGTTGTAATCAGTAGCGAACTTTTACACTGTTAACAGAAAAGGTTGAACTCTTTCAGGAACACACTAGTATGGATGAAAACCAGATCAAGGAGGAATTTGAGAAGCTCCATCAGTTTCTTAGAGATGAGGAGGAGAAACACATCAGATCCTTGCATAAAGAAATTAAACTTCTAGATGAGAAACTCAAGACCAGAATGAAGGAGTTGTCCGCACAGATATCAGATCTGTCTGAGAATATGGCAGCCGTCTGGCAAGATATGGAAGAAGAAAACATCACATTTCTCCAGGTACAGATCAAATACTCAACGATACACCAGCTACCAAAGTCTATCAGAGAGCTGTATCTGGTGCAGATATGTCTGATAATCAATGTTCATGATGTTTGCATAACCACATTACTGAGTGCCAGTTGCTTTTTATTTCTCATTCAGAATTACAGCGATACAGTAAAAAGGTGAGTTTTCCCAATTAGCATTTGGTTACAGCTGCAACCCCATTTTACCCAGTGAACACCAAATATCTTACTGTTTATCTACAGACTCCAACACCCATCAGTACCAAACACAACCCCTGAACTACAGGAACATCAACACTATCCCATTCAGACAATGATCTTCACCACCTGGGCCAGAATGCAGAACCTTGTTGAACAGCGTAAGTAACAATGCCTTCTTAACTATAATCATCAGATATTGACTGATGATCGATTGGTTGGTTGGTGTTTTAATGACATGCCAGCTTCCTTGGCTATTTTCATGACAAGTTACAAATTGAAAAAATATATAGCGGTGGATGTCATTTGATGTTAAGAACTTGATTCTGGAATGTTCTATTTAGCATCATGTATATATTATGAACTGATCCCAGCAATTACTTAACATAAAGATGTGACTTTTACCCAACGTAAGGTTGACTGATGAAAGGCTCTGTAGTTTACGGTCATCTGTGTTTACAGCTCCTGTGACTCTGGATCCAGACACAGCCTCCAATAAACTGCTGGTGTCAGAGGATTACACCAGTGTTGAGTACTTAGAAATGAAAATTATTATGTATGATAATCCAGAAAGGCTGTATGTGGGAGTGCTGGCCTCACAGGGCTTCAGCTCAGGTGTGCACTGCTGGGATGTAGAGGTAAGAGACAATGACCACTGGACACTGGGAGTGGTGGGGGAAACGGTGAACCGCAAAAGACTTTACAAAATGGATCCAAAGAGTCATTTTTGGTGTTTACGTTACGTGAATGGTACATACAAGAAAGGAAATAAACCTGTCAGTGATATTGATAGCAATGAAAGGCCAAATATCATCCGACTGCAGCTGGACTATGATGAAGGAGAGCTGATATTCACTGAACCCTTAAGAAACAGAATTTTGTGCACCTACACGGGTGGATTTCCAGAGAGGGTGTTCCCATATTTCTGTACTGGAGATGTAGACACACCACTTAATGTTTTCCCGGCAAATAAACAAAAACTGTGAACACCAACTAATGTTTTTTTTTAAACACGTGTTTTGTGCACGTGCCAAGATAATAATCAAAAGGAATGACGTTCATGCAGTGTGACTTGAATGTGAACATAATTCTTGGGGCCGCTGTATGTCAACTTATATGGCTATGCGATTATTTAATCATGCAATGTTTAAGTATATAGGGTGATGTATTAACGCAAAGTTTAATGTGATTATCAATGTAAAAAACAATAAAGAATATTTGGTGTACCTATGTGATATTATTGAAGTGAAATACGGTTCAGGGTCATGTGCTCAACCTCGTCAGGTGGTGTTGATGTTCCAGTGGAATTCCTCCTGATTGTATTGTGGAGGATGATACACACCTGCAATATGAAGACAATTAAACCATGAGCTGTCAGAAATGTGCCTACCTGAGGGTGTATGTTGGCATAATCAGCTTCATATTCTCCAAGGCCTGCAGTTTGTGCAGCTTATTTATCCAATGACTGTAAGGAATCTTTTAAAACATTAAAGCATATGTTAAGCAACTTTACTAGCGTTCATTTTTCATATATGTAGTAGAGTATTAATCAGTTTAACTAGTAAGTTTCACCTGACGACAAATATTCACTGGTGAAATGAAATGGTTTGCCTGAAGAGGAGGTAATCATAACAGTTTTCCTTCATTATTTGACGGAATATTTACAAACACTGTCATTGTTTATCACTTTATTATATGTAAATATCACAAATATATGACAAAAAACATGTTAGTGATCTGTAAATAAATTCTTTAGTAACTGACGTTTGGCTAACTAACGTTATGCTAGCAACGCTAACGCGTGATGAACAGATTATTCCAGAAAACTTCCTAACAGACATTTCTAAATGCACATTTTTTTATCTCCATCTTTTTGTATATATTTCATAACTTTCCGAAATAATTAATTAACCGTCAGTTACCGCAGTTACCGTAGTAGCAACCGCTACTGTACCGCGCAAAATAAAATATCTTCCCAAATTGACATTTGATTTATCTTATTAAATGATTAATACACTCCATTGGTTTTACTGTGTTTACAAAGGTTAAGATTATATAGACATGAAAATTGTGAAAAATACTTTTGTATTTAACTAGAAAATTAAAGTTTCAAGTCCATGTGTCACATGATCAGGATCCACAGTAATGCATTAGTTTTTTCATATTTATGACTTTTAATTACTGTATTTCTAGCAACAGTGTCATCATAAAATACAGTTTGTGCAAACAGGTTATTGGTTTAAAATGAAAACAAAAATGTTTTGTTTTTTAATATGTATATACAGTATATATATAATATACTCTTGGTTGACAGACACACAACATATGATGAATATCAACACACACATCAATCATATCAATAGGAAACACACTGAACAGGAACAAATGTGCTTGCGCTTCCCTTTTTCTGCAGTTTCTCAGGAGGTGAACGCTCTTCTGTGACCCAGCATTCAGGCACTATTACACTACAGCCACGTGTTAAGGCAGCGTTCACCATCCATGCAGCAGTAAGCCGTAAGAACCGGAAGTGTGCGTCACTTTTTAAAGGTTAACAAAGAGTCCAGCGCTTCTCCTCATTTATTAACATGCAATGTGTTTCCTCAGGGACTTTTGGTGAGCAAAGACTAGTGAAAAGACAAATAACGGACCACGTTTAAAAACAGTAGGTGTTAAAAATGCCATATTTGAACATGCAGAATGCAAAAAATACATCAACATAATCCAAATAAAAAATTTATATCTCATGAAGATACATCTAGGACACATATCACCTTGATAAGAAAAAAAAAGAAAAGAAACTACACTGTACCTGAAGAAAATTAAGCATATTTTTAGATATGAAAACTTTCATTACCATAATGCATCTGGATAATTTACTGTAATTCCCAATTGCTCTATTACATGATTTTTTTGTTTGTTTAATTTTCTTGATGTGAGATATAATTTTTTATTTTAATTTCAGTGAAGTCGATGGAAGCTTGTTTCCTCGAGATAAAAAAAAAAGTCATTTTGACAATTTCAATTGTGAGAAATAAAAATCTGAATTATGAGATATAAACAATTGAGCGATATAAAATCAGAATTGTGCAAAATAATCAGAATTGCATGATATACATGCAGAATTTTGAGATATAAACTCAGAATTGTGCAAAATAATAAGAATTGTGCGATATAAACTCAGAATAGCGAGATATAAACAATGTGAGATATAAGCGCAGAATTTCAAGATATAAATGCAAAATTGCATAATATAAACTCAGAATTGTGAGACATTAATGCTGAATTATGAGATATAATCTCACAGCTATGAGAAAAACAGTCAGAATTGTGACTGTTTTTCTAAAAATAAAATACAATTCTGACCAAAAATATTTTTAACAATTTGTGTGCGATTCTTCCTAACAACATACACTTCAAATCCATCAGACACTTACAGAACATCACAGAAAACATCATAAAAAGCCTAAATAAAATCTCTCCATTGCAGAATATTCCTCAGTCTCTTTTCTATTGGTCCATTAAAGCATAAATCCTGTGTGTCTTCTTTTTCTTCGGAAAAAACAGTTGCAGGATTATCTTGTCAGTTATTCCAGGTAGTAAAAGGTTAAATGATTCGATGTGTTTCCTTTACAGAATAATTAATTTGGTCCTTTTGTTTGTAATTATTGTGAAATAGCCTCTTCCTGAGGACGACTGTGCTTTAGTGTCCTGAGTGAAGAGCCCATGTGTGTGTGTGTGTGAGTGTGTGTGTGTGTGTGTGAGTGTGTGTGCCACACGACCAAACTGCATCACGATGTAGTCAGCTGAAAACACAACAACACAGAATCACAACGATTTATTGTTTAAAAAAAAAATGTATAAGAAAATCATCCCATATGAAAATCATCTCTCCTCTCTCTCTCTCTATATATATATATAGAAAATCTTTTTCTTTTTTAATGTACTTTGGTACCAAGTATTACTTTTAAATAATTAAACAGAGAGAGAGAATTTGTCTTATTATTTTTAATTGCAATTTGATAGAGATGTTTTAAAAAATTAAATATATTTTTGAACATATTTATTAAATAAATAAGAAATATAAACTTTTTTTAATTATGCTAGATTCCAAGGCAACATTTCCCATTTTCATTTAGTTTAACTTTATGTACTAAAATAACTAAAACGGGGAAAAAAAAAATAATAATAATTTAAACATAAAAAATATAAATATTAAAAAAATTATAAAAATGACTAAAACATCTTTAAAATTACTAATCAATTAAAAAATATATATATAAAAAAATTAAAATGCAATATTTCTCATTTTCATTCATCTTAACGTGATGTACTATAATAACTAAAACTAGAACTTAAATAAAAATTTATAAAAAACTATATAGACAATAAAAAAAATTACATAAAACATAATACAAATGATTAAAACAACTTTAAAATTACAAATACTTCAACTAAAATTAAAATGAAAACAGACAATATAAAAATAAAAAGGCAACAAAATAAAAAGGCAACATTTCTCAAATTTTCATTTAGTTTTGTCTTGATGTACAATAACTACAACTAAAAATGAAAAAAAAATTGCATACATATTTAAAAATAAAAAATGATTACAAAAAATTCACATAAAAAGACATAAAATTCACAGAATTACTAATACTTTAAAAATAAAATGTATATATGTATATAAAATAAAACAGAATTAAAAATATTATCTATATGTGATGTACTAAAATAACTATAACTAAAACTGAAATAAAAAGTAATAAAAATTATATTAAAAACATAAAAAATGACTAAAACTTGAAAATTATTAATACTTCACCTAAAATTTAATTTTAAATGAAAACATCAAATATAATCTAAATTTTGATATTATATGATATTACCTAAATATATCTCACGTAAATACCTCTAAATATGTAAGGGATAATGCATGGCTAGCTGTGCATTAAACGATTTTATTGCACGACGTGGAGGCCAAGAACCACCCGACGCGAAGCGGAGGACAGAGATGAAATAGTGTGATAAGATCACATTTCTTTGAATGAATTATAGCATTTATTTAAATTAATTATTGATTGAGAGAGCAAGAGAGAGGTGTGTGTGTGTGTGTGTGTGTGTGTGTGTGTGTTACCTGCGTCTGCGCGTCTCTCTACAAACAGTGAAGCTGTGTTACTTCAAAAACAGCAATTTTACCACCTTGTTGCTGAGGAATATAAAGTAGCGATTAGGGCTGTAAAAAAAAATACGAATTTCGAATATTCGCCGAATTTAAAATAAAAATCCACATTGCAAACGTTGCATTCGAATTTTAGGTGTGCGTCAGGCAGCTTTATCAGTGGCGCACGAGATGCGATGACGATGTAAGTGTCGTTGCATTTTAATGTTTTTGTTAGCCTGTCCAGTTGAAGCCACTAGATGCGGTGCTGCTGCGTTGTTCATGAAAAATATTGCGGAAAAAGAGAACATCAATGCAGAGAAGATCTTGTTTACGTCAAAACTGAAACCAAGCCGTTCACACAGAAAACATATTACACGCATTTTCTAGAGGGACGTCTATCACCGTTGCACTCGTGTCTCGCACAAAAGAGCCGCATGTTTAGAAAGCCATGTAAAATTAATGCAAGTTCAACTTTTAAAAAACATGTCTCGAGACTTTATGGCAGATTTTCCCCATCCCACAGCATCTCAAGTTTTTAAATGAAAAAAGTACTCTTTGTGATTGGTTTTCGGTCCTTTGTATTAAACTATACATACATGCATGATCGATCTAGTATCTGGCTTGGAACTACCTGTGCATTAAACAGTTTTACTGCATACCTGCCAGCCAATCAGAATCAAGTATTCAGGCAGACCATGGTATAAGTCTATATATATAACACCTCACACTGCTTGACTGAGGTGACTTACGGTCGTTGTCGTGGACGATCTGGAAGTTCTTGACGGAGGCCTGCGTGACTCTGCCGTGGAAGTTGAGCACGTAGGACTGCGTGTCGTCGTTCCACACCGGCGCTTTATTGTGCAGCTCGATCAGATTCTCCAGCGAGTGATTCTGCCATTTACTCAGCAGAGACTCCTGCTCCTGAAACACACACACACACACACATCAGCTGCTGCGCTCATGGTGATGATCTGACTGACAGCAGCCAGAGACACTAGCCGGGTTTCCATCCAAAGCTGCGAATTTAACAACGCAAAACTGGAATATCGCATAAAACATTTGCGAACAAGCGAACAAACAAACAAAATCATCACTTCCTGATAAACTGGCACTATAAATTACTAAGATAAGTAGGAGAATATAATAATTTTCATATATAATAAATTACTTGCGCCTCAGAGCGAGCAGACGAAACACAATGAATGCGGTCATTGCTTTCGGAGGCGGATGCTGCTGTTTGGGAACGCAGTCGTGTAAGACA